GTGGGGTTGGGGGGGGGGGGGGGGGGGGGCGTAAGATCATCGTCGATCTTGTTACAACGGAAAAGCGTTATCGTTGAATATTTAGTTCGATAGAATGATGTTTCCAGATAACATTTATTTAATGCGAATAAAGAATTCGTTGCGCAATAGTATTTGCGTGAGCGAATTTATAACGAACAATGTTTAAACATACGGATAGAATCGGGCTGTTTTTGATGGTATTGTTTGTGTTCGCGGTGTTAAACGGTGTTTCGTAACAAGTATTTTTACCTTACGTCAATTTACAATAATTAGGATCGAAGACAATTTTCCATTGCCAGCTAAAAGATTACTATAAACCGGGAATGAAAATGCTGTCAGACTTTGTTAAACCTTCGAAGCTGTTTCGACTCCAAAACCAAGACATTTCTTTCGATCTGCAGTATTTTCATTTTATACGATTTATATATATTGCATTTTACGCACGATATAAAACAATTCAGAGGAGCAGAACCTTTTCGCTAAATTATTTGAATAGTTTACGAGATCGGGCTGCTTCTAACGAATCATTTGAACAATGAAGACAGGTACCGAGATAGTGGTCCCAGTGAACGGGTTAATTAACTAAATGCAAAACTAGGTGACAAAAATGCTACAAAATGCAGTATTCTGGCAATGCTACAGAGAATGTTCAGCGTTAATTTATGATGGCCTTTGTTATATTATTTATATTATTTATTTATATATTATATTTTTATTATTATTATATTATTTATTATTATATTTTTATATATTATATATTATATTCATATATTATTTATTTTATTTATATTATTAATATATGGCCTTCTCCTTTCAAAATTTAAAAACAAACGCAATAGAACCATTGCGGATCCAATGCTGCTTCTGTATGAGTTCCGGTGACAACGGTACAATGGTGATATAATTTCCAATACTTCTGCTACGCCAAAGGGTCTCGAACCCGTATAACGTGTAAATAAATTCTAAATTCTCTTCCTGAATCCTAGTTGGGATCGATGACGTTCGTCAAGAATGCCACGGAGGATCTCTAGACGATTACGTGACGTGTAATGCAACGAGCGTCTTCAATCTTTAGAGCACTCTGCTGCTGCAGTCGCCAACCCCTTCGCCGAGATTTCGCTGCAGTCGATCCTTTTTTTTCTTCTCTTTCGTCCTCCTTTCTTGCATGCGATCGTGTTGCGGATTTAGGTTCGGCCGGAGATCGCGAAGCACGGTTCGCCTCGGTATGTACATTGGGTGAATGACAAATTATGCAGTTTTTAAGCCCTCGCCCTGCGATTTATTTTCAAAGAAACGTGCGCGTCCGGGCAATTGAATTTAGCGCGACCCTGCGCGAGGAGTTATCACGAAATGAAACGAAAAGATTTCGGTTTTCATTCAATTTATTTACATAAACGTGGTCAACTGTTTCATTCGTAATAGAACAGATGAAGAAAGTGTAATGCCGCTGTGAAATAAAAATTGAAAAATATCCTCTGTTATGTCGCCACGACACAACGGGAGAGTTTCTCAAGAAATGTGAGGTTTCTTGTTCTGGTCGGAGAATTTACCAAGACTTTTAAAAGACTTTAAAAGACTTTTAAAAGACAAGTTAAACTTCCTTTATTTTAGCAATTATTTCTGAGCGTGTTTATGATGCGAATAGATCTGAGGACCGGTGTCTCGTTAGACACACCGGTCCTCATTTATTTTGAGCATTTTATGGAGGATTATAAAAATTATCAATGCATACAGGAATTTAAATGTTTATTTAATAAATCTTTCATACATTTTTTATTGTGAATTGTGAAGTTGTTTTGAACGTGAATTGGCGAGTCTGAGAGAAGAAAGAACGTAGCTTTTGAGATGCGAGAAGAAGAAGATAGTTGAATGCGGATGGATTATCGATTTGCAATTGCAATGTATGCCGAGTGCCGAGGTACGGCATGTTGATGTCCATCGATTAAATATTTATAGTTCGTTTTCATTCGGTTCACACCATTAGAAATCCCATATTTTTCGAGAGTTTTGACAGAGGACGCTGCAGAGAATTTACCACAACGTATTGTTACTGCTGCCCCAGGCTTTTGTTTAGAGTATAATCGAGGAACATAATAGCGTAATATTGTTGCTGCCAAACGAGTCCGACGTTTCCGACAAGTACAACGTTTCATGCCACGATATTGTCGATGTAAAGATATTCACGTGGAAATTATTACGTTCGTTGATCCATTTTATAGCCGAGTTAAATTTATTACCGCTGTATTCCTCGCTTTTGATTTCAGTAACATCTAAGTCATTCGACGAGTCGGAAACTGCTCTTAAATAGCACAATATTAACGCTCTAACTATCAACAAGTTCAACAGGCTGATCTTCAAACTCGTTCCTTCACAATTATTGCGATAATAAAACTGCCCCTGTAAAAAGTTGGCCAATTTGTTTAGCGATGGTGCTGCATGGCCGAATTAAATTCGTCACCGCTATATTTCATGATCTTACGGTTCTAACAGCACTCGGTAATAACGTTGGTGTTAATAGCGAGTATACTAAATGGTCCAACCATTACTCTTCAATTATTCATTGTATAATTATTGGGATTGTACAGACGTTTTTCTGGAAGGTTATAAAAATGTCTTTATGAATGTTGATCGAGATGAACTCCTGCACACCTTGAATATTCCACTCTAAGAGCAGTGCTAAGACCATGCTAATTTAAAATCTAGTTCTACCAATGTCGCGTTAACGCTATATAGTTACCTTGTAAATCGAAATAATTCATTTCTGATATTTTCCTTCACAATTGTACCAAGTTTTAAAAGACGACGAAAATTATTACTATCGTTGCATGTTCCCTAAACTTCAAATTTCAACACTTCATTTACAAAAACAACGATTATAAAAGACATCCCAACTCGAGACCTAGCCCTACTAGCGTCATACTAACGCTAGTCCTGCCACCACAATTTATTAATTACTCACCAATATCCTCTGTCCCGATTATTTAATTTAATTGATTTCTGTACGCGTTCCATTCCTTTGTATACAATTAATACAACGACGTATTCATAAACAAATATATTAACACATTAAAGGCGGGGGATCTTGACGAAAGTATGCTAGGTAACGAGGCGACCGCCCCGCCTCGTTTTTTGTCCTAGAGCGGGCGATATTTTGTGTAATCATAAAAAAATTTAGACTTAAAAAAGTTTATTTAAACTCTTAAAACTAAAAGAACTAAACACTAATTACAAAAAATGTTTTAAAGTACATATTTATGAGAAGTCGAGATAAATCGTAGTACTACGACTCCCGCCTTTAATGTGTTAACACTTTATCGTCCGGTCGTGGTTGAGGCTGCCACTCAGTAAGGACTGGCTTAGTCGCGCGCGCATTTGCTCCCAGTACCGGCTAAATTTTCGCTATTCATTGTGTTGTGCTTATTCCTTTAAAAATAATAATAAATAATAATATATAATTATTATAATTATAATTCATAAGGATATGGGGAGGTCAGCATACAGGAGGTCAGCTACTAACAAAACAGTAAAGAAGCGAAAACCGTCGATAGCTAAAAGTCGATTAATAGGCTATCGGTCGATAAGCATTGGCAATCGAAAA